TGTCCTTGCGTGTCACTAATTTACTAACTGACATATTAGTCTGGATGTCGCAACACTTCTTAAAACTCAACCTTTCAAAAACTGAGCTCATGATATTTCCTCCTGACCGTGCACCTTCCCACAACTTTTTCCTTGAGATTGTTAACACAAGTATCCAGCCCTCCACCCATGCCAAGGTCCTCGGTGTCATCCTTGACTCGGACCTCACCTTTCTTCCCCACATCCAATCACTATCCAAATCCTGCCGCCTTCACCTTCGGAAACCGCAAATTTACTCATCCACTCCCTTGTTATCTCTCGTCTGGACTATTGCAACTCCCTCCTCATTGGCCTTCCACTACACAGGATATACCTCCTTCAGTCTATCATGAATGCAGCTGCTAGACTCATTCACCTAACCAACCTCTCAGTGTCTGCAACCCCCCTCTGTCAATCCCTGCACTGGCTTCCTATAGCCCAAAGGATAAAATTCAAAATATTAACCGCTTACAAAGCCATCCACAACTCTGGCCCCGGCTATATCTCCAACCTGGTCTCAAAGTATTACCCTAACCGTCCTCTACGCTCTTCACAAGACCACCTGCTTTCCAGCTCCCTCATCAACGCCTCCCATGCTCTCCTCCAGGACTTCACTAGAGTCTCTCCCATCCTATGCAACTCTCTACCCCAACCTGTCCGTCTATCTCCCACAATGACTGCCTTTAAGCACACCAGTGACCGTTTGGTGGAAGTCACATTCACTGCTTCATAAATGTGCCCCTTAGTAATTTTTCTTGCCCCACGCATACATTCATTTACGTTTAAAAACCAGTGCCAAACAAGTAGTTTGATAAAAGTTTGCCTTTGTATATATTTATTCATCTGATTAAATTATATTGCCTAAATGTTTTTAAAATACACTGCTCAAAAAAATTAAAGGAACACTTTTTAATCAGAGTATAGCATCAAGTCAATTAAACTCCTGGGATATTGTTCAGTTCAGTTAAGTAGCAGAGGGAGTTGTTAATTAGTTTCAGCTGCTTTGGTGTTAATGAAATTTACAACAGGTGCACTAGATGGGCAACAATGAGATGACCTCCAAAACAGGAATGGTTTTGCTGACCTTTTTTCCCCTACTCATCTTTTATGACTGTTTTTCAATAATTTTGCTTTTGGCTAGAGTCAGTGTCACTACTGGTAGCATGAGGCGATACCTGAACCCTAAAAAGGTTGCACAGGCATGCCAACTCCTCCAGGACGGCACATCAATACGTGCCATTGCCAGAAGGTTTGCTGTGTCTCCCAGCACAGTTTCAAGAGCATGGAGGAGATTCCAGGACACAGACAGTTGCTCTAGCAGAGCTGGACAGGGCCGTAGAAGGTCCTTGACCCATCAACAGGACCAGTATCTGCTTCTTTGTGCAAGGGGGAACAGGATGAGCACTGCCAGAGCCCTACAAAATGACCTCCAGCAGGCCACTGGTGTGACCAAACAATCAGAAACAGACTTCATCAGGGGGCCTGAGGGCCCAATGTCCTCTAGTGGGCCTTGTGCTCACTGCCCGGCACCGTGGAGGTCAATTGGCACTTGCCATTGAACACCACAATTGCCAGGTCCGCCACTGGCGCCCCGTACTTTTCACAGATGAGAGCAGGTTCACCCTGAGCACATGTGACAGACATGAAAGGGTCTGGAGAAGCCGTGGAGAACGTGACTGCCATTGGGTATCGGGATGAAATCCTTGGACCCATTGTCAGACCCTACGCTGGTGCAGTGGGTCCTGGATTCCTCCAGGTGCACGACAATGCCCGGCCTCATGTGGCGAGAGTATGCAGCCAGTTCCTTGAGGATGACAACATTGATACCATTGAATGGCCCCCACGCTCGCCTGACCTGAATCCAATAGAACACCTCTGGGACATTGTCTCGGTCCATCAGCCGCCGCCAGGTTGCACTTCAGTCTGTTCAGGAGCTCAGTGGTGCCGTGGTCCAGATCTGGGAGGAGATACCCCTGCACACCATCTGCCCTCTCATTAGGAGCATGCCCCGCTATCCAGCATGATAATTTTCCCCTTTGAAAATCGGATATGTTTTCAAAGTGTTCCTTTAATTTTTTTGAGCCGTGTATAATAAAATTTTGTGGCAGTGGGATTTATTTAGTATAGGCTCTTCACAAGGTCATACTGCTACATGTATACAAGAAATGATGCAGAGAACTATTTTCACTGATCATGTCACATGGTACTTGCATGAAATCACTTAAGCGAAAGATTAGCAGGCTAGGAAACTTTTCCCAGTTGCTCTTTACACTCCTGCTGATAAGGGGTGCTGGCACAGTTTTCTTGTGCCACTTTCTTCCAGGTTTCATTGAAGGACACAGCATATTTATGAGTTTATTCTTTGGACAGTTGGCAGAATTCAGCGGCATAGCTCCTCATGGTGGCTATTACCCAAATTGGGCCCAAAGTGTCAATATTTTGTGTGGCCACCATTATTTTAGTGCATGGAGTTCACCAGAGCTTCACATGTTCCCACTAGAGTCCTCTTCCATCACGGAGCTGGTGAATGTTAGAGACCTTGTGCTCCTCCACCTTCCATTTGAGAATGCCCAACAGATGCTCAATAGGGTTTATGTCTGGAGACATGCTTGGCCAGTCCATCACCTTTACCCTCAGCTTCTTTAGCAAGGCAGTGGTCGTCTTGGAGGTGTGTTTGGGGTCGTTATCATGTTGGAATACTGCCCTGCGGCCCATTCTCCGGAGGGAGGGAATCATGCTCTGCTTCAGTATGTCACAGTACATGTTGGCATTCATGGTTCCCTCAATGAACTCAAGCTCCCCAGTGCCGGCAGCACTCATGCAGCCCCAGACCATGACACTCCCACCACCATGCTTGACTGTAGGCATGACATACTTGTCTTTGTACTCATCACCTGGTTTCTGCCACACATGCTTGACACCATCTGAACCAAATAAGTTTATCTTGGTCTCATCAGACCACAGGACATGGTTCCAGTAATCCATGTCCTTAGTCTGCTTGTCTTCAGCAAACTGTTTGCGGGCTTTCTTGTGCATTATCTTTAGAAGAGGCTTCCTTCTGGGACGACAGCCATGCAGACCAATTTGATGCAGTGTGCAGCGTATGGTCTGAGGTCTGACAGGCTGACCTCCCACCCCTTCAACCTCTGCAGCAATGCTGGCAGCACTCATACGTCTATTTCACAAAGACAACCTCTGCATATGACGCTGAGCGCGTGCACTCAACTTCTTTGGTCGACCATGGTGAGGCCTGTTCTGAGTGGAACCTGTCCCGTTAAACCGCTGTATGGTCTTGGCCACCGTGCTGCAGCTCAGTTTCAGGATCTTGGCAATCTTCTTATAGCCCAGGCCATCTTTATTTAGAGCAATAATAATTTTTTTCAGATCCTCAGAGTTCTTTGCCATGAGGTGCCATGTTGAACTTCCAGTGACCAGTATGAGAGAGTGAGAGCGATAACACAAAATTTAACACACCTGTGACCTTGTAACTAACGAGTCACATGAAATTGGGGAGGGAAAATTAGAGAATTTAGACATTTTCACTTAGTGGTGTACTCACTTTTGCTGCCAGTGGTTTAGACATTAATGGCTGTGTGTTGAGTTATTTTGAGGGGACAGCAAATGTTCACTGATGTACACTCACTACTTTACATTGTAGCAAAGTGTCATTTCTTCTGTGTCGTCACATACAATTACCGTATTTTTCCGTCTATAAGACGCCCCCATGTATAAGACACCCCCAACTTTTCTTACCCAAAATTCAGAAATCAATATTTTAAATGATATTATGCATCACACTTACCTCTGAGCCAATCACTTTATTCAGCCTCTGTTGCATCACTGGTTTCTTCATCACTTTTAGCTTCAAACATATCAGTTTCTTCAACTTCTGCTGCATCACTGCTGTCTGCTGAGTCACTGTCTATATATACAAGATCATCCTCAGTTCCGTCCATGGCATTGCTGATTCCACATTTCTTGAAGGACTTTACAATCACCTCTTGTTTGACACCATACCATGAGTTTAGAGAGTTTACAGGTTGTTTTTCACTTTCTGACATTTTTATGGTCACAGAATACTCCGACATTACCGCTCTGGGCACTGCCTACACGATCTCCCCAGCAACAGCTCACGTCAGGTTAAAAAGATTTATGACTGGAGGAGAACTGTTATCTTGTCTCTGCAATCCGTGAGGCTAGTTTGCAGTTGTATCAGCACTTTCAAAACCGCGGCCCCCGTGTATAAGACGCACGTCTATTTTTAGATAAAGATTTTTATGAAAAAGTAGCATCTTATACACAAAAAAATACGGTATATAATAAAATATTTACAAAAATGTGAGGGGTGTACTCACTTCTGTGAGATACTGTATATCTATATTGTGAGTGTATATACACTGGTGTGTAGTGCGCCCTTTGCTGATGAACACTTTCCACTTGAAGATGGTCAGTGCAGAGGAAAAATGTTTTTATTTCAGTGGTGGTAAAAGTAGGAGCTTTATCCTTCAGACACAGAGAAAAGTCTGAGCCTGCTGACAGCTGACATGCTGAATGTCTTCAGAAACTTAGTGTAGAAAGAAAACGGCTGAGCTAAGAATCATGATGACATTCAGCTCAGCCCAGTGATCAAAGCACAGTCTGGATGGGAGGAGGATTTGTGGACGGAGACATGGAGGGTTCTAAAAAGATGAAGTTAGAGAACTTCATAGTTCTCATGTCTGACTGTAGTGCTTCACATGAACTAGCACAGAGGATGGCTACTTTTCAGGACACATAGGGACCATGGAGAAGAAAAGTAGCCACTTTGTGGCAGGAAGTTGTGGCTGGAGAAAAATAAAACCGATTTTGGAGCATTTAGAGCTGAAGAATAACAAAATAAGGTACACAGTCATTGATTATTTATATAATACGAGTAGAAGTTATTTTTATTTAATTTTTGAGTTTAGTTTCACTTTAACTATGTATTTTTATTTTCAAACTAGATCATGAAGACACTTGTTGTGGCCCTTCTTCTAGCTGGTGGTGTTCCTCTTCTGCTTGGACTTTTATTTGAACTAGTAATAGTTGCACCTCTTAGAGTGCCTTTGGATCAGACACCCTTATTTTACCCCTGGCAAGTAAGTCTGCATATACAAATATGTCTTATAAAATATAGTTTGTATTATGCAGTTAAGATATTGGAAAGTGTAATTGCCATTATTATTTGTGTAATTGCTTGTAATGCCTGTTATTCTTTGTTAGTGGATGTTAAAATAGATTGAAGTGAATTGTATGGAAGCTTCATTAACCGGTTGCATAAAGAGTGAATAGAAAGTCTAGTCTTTCTATTATAGTGGACCTTTACTCATATCTTTAAAATAACAACAAACACACCTTTAGAAATGTTTAGTAATGACTAGAGGTGCACCGAAATTAAATTTTAAAAACCGAAACAAAAAAAATGTCAGACCGAAACCGAAAATGTTGTATTTTTCTAACCTTTTATTTTATTTTTATTAAATATTTTTATTTTTTTACTTTACTGTTGGGTGCTTTGGGGAAATATTAGGGGTCTAAACAGATCCCTGATATTTCCCTTTTAAAATAGAAAAAGAGATTGAGAACACAGAGCCCTCAATCTCGTTTTCTGCATCCCCTGTTATAAATGAACAGGAATCCTCTATACTGAGGATATACTGTTCATTCATAACTTGTGGAGATAGAATGTTTACCATGTCCACAATCATGAATGAACAGGGAGTGATGTAGATCACTTCCCATTCATTCATAATTGGGGACACAATAAACGAACTCTGTCCTCATTTATTTACAAACACTCAGCGATCACTGATCGCTGAGTGCTTGTACCCCCTCTCCATCCTGACTCGCTGTCACAGGAGGCTGAGTGAGCGGTGCGGGGAGGAGAGCTTGATTTCCTCTGACAGTTGACTCCTCCCATGCACCACCGGCCCGGCCTCCTGTGACAGTTGTCTCCGCCCCCACACAACCGCTCTCCTGGTCTGTCACAGGAGGCTGAGTGCGGCGGCCCAGGAGGAGAGCTCATCCCTAGTAAATGACAATCTACAAACAGTCACTTCTAGATAAATGCAGAATTTGTATTCTTTATAAAACAGAAGTCCTCAACTTGCGCAACTAGATCAATTGTTTATGGACTATATTTTGATAGTATCAAATGAACTCCAGTTATACTGGTAATTACTCCAGAGAAGATGTATGCAACGATCCTGCAGCCTAGTTGGTTGGATAGGGAAACATCCATGTAACACCACTGTGAAGAAAACATAGGAAACCGGCGCACCGATCTAAGTGCAGTATAAAGTGAGTATTTAATAAGGTAATGCACTTACAGGATATTAAAAAAAACATCTCGCCTGTCACGCATCAGATGAAAGTCCCATCTCAGCTGCTGGTCCGAAATTGCTATCAGGATATGGAGACTCTCGACTGGACTCTGCTCTCTCCAACTGGACTCTGCTCTCTCCATATCTTGATAGCAATCTCGGACCAGCAGCTGAGATGGGACTTTCATCTGATGCGTGACAGGCGAGATGTTTTTTTAATATCCTATAAGTGCATTACTTTTAACCTTATTAAATAGTTACTTTATACTGCACTTAGATCGGTGCGCCGGTTTCCTATGTTTTCTTCACTTTGTATTCTTTGCATACCTTATTTCTCTTTTCTTTCCCAGTCTTCTGGCAGTGGCCATGTTAACTAAGGGCAGGTTACTAGCTCTCCCTTTTCTTCCTGAAAATCTCAGGGGAGGAAAATGCCTTTATCTGAGATCTCATTAGATTACAAATGAGATTTCCCAGCAATGCTCTGCTGATGTAACCTTCCCAGGATGCAAAGCTTGGATAAATACATAATTTGTGCCAGAACTAGACCAGGAATGGGATGAACTCTATTTGTAATTAAATGAAAAATGCGTTTTTTTTAAACGAATGAATGTAAGATGATTTTAAATCAGCATGCAGAGCTGCGTGCTGCTGTGATTTTTAGTGAAAGGTGGGTAAAGGTCCACTTTAAGTTATTATTGCTTAAGATGTTATTAAAGAAAGATATTTTTTGTTCAACTAATTTTTTTTTTTTTTACGCATGAAGTGTTATAACAATTAACAGTGCAAATAACAAACCCAGCAACATATCCGACCGTTTGAATGGAACTTAACTATACTATCCATTTAGGGACACAGGAATGGTATATCACCATGGGTTATATAGTGCCACCAACTAGAAAATATACTCTATACAAGAAAGGCTGCAAGCCAGCCTTAGGATATACAGCCCCTTCCACACTAGCCATGCCTAAGCTTTGTCTACTGTGCTTAGGAGGAAGGACACCTCTTTTCTCCAGTGCTGCTGTCTCAAGACCTGTGTGGTTTTCTTTTAACAGCTGCTAGCAGATTCACGCCATACCTGCCCTAGTCCTAGTCCTGGATAGTCCAGCACATGTCCAGACTGCAGACCAGAACACAGTGTGGCACAGCTACAGCCAATTCTGGCTTTATATTATTATTACATTTTCTTATAATATAAAGCCAAGTATGCAGAACACACACAAACTTAACCTTGCCCTTAATGTGTTCTGCTATATTGGCTGTTAAAGATTTGGACCTGTCTTTTGCACTACCACATCATTTTCATCTCTTTCAGTAACACTTTTGGATATAGAAGAATCTAATGTAGTGAGAATTCTAGTAAGAATGTCACACTGTACTTTTGCACACTGTTTGTCTGCTAATCCTTTTATTGAATATATATACCAAATACAGCATATAGGTAATATATGCAGATATATACCTGCTAGAGAGCCAATCAACTCTTTTTCTTCACTCCTGGGTACTTTGTAATGTGCCTCGCTGATAGTGTCTGCTTGCTTGGGGCTGGCCATCACTGTGGGTGAGCTTTCCCTGAGTCAAGAGGTATGGCAGTGTCTGCAAGCACTGACCTAGTCACTGACAGCCTTTAGAAACACGGTCTTAAGAGAAGTAGGTTATTCAGGTTACTTTACATAAGGTATATCACTGGACCTGGAAGGTGTGTCCAGGAAACTTCATCTATGTAAATTATTTTCTTTCTTCATTCAGGAGTGGGACAACACCTGGCCTTTAGTACAGTAACCTCGGCGGGCAGACTTTAAGAATCGGCTGCATTGTCCTTTGGGGTACCCCTGTCATGTACTTAAATTGACATTAAACCCTCAGATTTTTTAACATAAACCAATACTGTAATATGTGCCTTACTGTAATCCATGGTAGTTTCCCTTCTCTTTGCTGCTCTTCCTTTTAAATCCTCATGTCTTCTCTGCTTGGGGAGAACTTCCCTTTGCAGCTCAGGGCCTCTTCCTGTAGTGCTGGCTCAGGTTACAAACCTATACAAACCTATACACAGACACCATATATCCATTCCTGAGACAAGGCAGTCTGCTGCAAAACAGAAGTTCTGCCCAGCATGAGAACAGATACAGATTTAAAAGGAAGAGCAGCAAAGAGAAGGGAAACAACCATGGCTTGCAGTAAGGCACACATTACAGTATTGTTTTATGTTAAAAAATCTGAGGGTTTAATGTCACTTTAATACACTAATTACAATATCTCGTGGCTTAATTACGGGGCCTCCAATACCAAATGGTATAAATATGATTGATCTATAATTAACAAGAATCCAATTTATTTTAGATACCACTTATACATATCAAAACAAGCCACGCTAACCTGAGTTATTTTGAGGTTATGAAGATTTTTTATTTTTTTGATCCACAATAATATCTGAGACAATGACAGACAATGTAACCGTACAGCAAATCAAATAGGAATGTATTATTCCCTCAAAGTATAATCATGTACACATAATTGGTCAATTAACACCTGCAATCAATATCTGTAAAGATTATTGATGGAAGTCATGCAAACTTTAAAAAAAAACAAATATTAATGGTGCACTGCGCCCAACATTCAGGTATATATCCCAAATGTAATAAATTACAGTTTTAACTATGAATGGTAGTTTTCCCTTTTAAACAGTGATCAAACTATCCCTTTGAGAATCCTAAAATTTTACCAATTAACAAAGTGCATTAGGGACCACCACCACCCCCATTAACTGTTGGAATTAAGACTGCTTTACCTCTGGGAGACCATCTATTTCTATCTATATCAATTTTTCTGTAAATGTAATGCACTGCACAAAACAGGATATTTGTACCTAAATCAACTTGTACAGGTAAAGTCAAATCATCCATAAAACAGTCCTGTTGGCAGTTTAACACGTTAATCAATTATTAGGTAATTTTCTTCCTAGATCTATACTCTATTTCATCTTCTAAACGCAAACGTCCGTACACTATGGTTTCGGAACATAAGTAAATGTGCTGTGTAATGGGGAGCAAAGCAATCCCCAGATTAGTTTCTTCTATCTGATTTCTCTGCAGTAGATAGAATGGTCGATAACTATACTACATTTGATGCTTTAACAGCTAAATTATTTACTTATATTCCTGACCTGGAAAATGGACAATTAGAAATGCCAAGAGACAAAGGAAAAATATCTTGATTGACTGTTTATACTTTACCACCAAGCGACGTGATGGGGATCTTAGGCAAGAATAAGGCGGTGCCCAATGAGCATTCAAGATGGTTATGATGGTGGAGTCTGATAATAAAGGATATTTTGGGGTCGTGGTCAAACCTTCCTGGATTATATCTATCTCATGGATGATTTGTGTGATGATAATTGGTCTTACGCCTTTGGTGATGGTCCCTTTTTTCCTCAACTTACTCCTTTATGACCTCAATTTCCTTATCTAAGGGCCAGCCTAAAAGGTGTAGTTTACAATATTTACTCTCATTTGGTTGGTAGGTGATCTATATTCATTAATCCCAGTGTTTATTCACCTGTCCATCAGATGGAGCTCTAAGACTATGAATTCCAAGCCTGGAATTTTCTTAGCAAGGTTCTTGTGCTACTATTTTAAGGTAAATCCACCAGACCATTATTCAAGCATTCACCATGAAGCATAAGTTCCCCCCTTTTCTGGTTAAGTCTCATTCCACTATGGTACTGAGCATCTTCTTGGCTTTTGTCTCTAAGGTCTGTAAAAGCTGCGTTCTTGGTT